TTTAGTTCACCAAGCGGGTTCAGAAACCTCACATCGTTGCATTCTCACAAACGCACTAAGGTTAGGACAAGAATTACTATCTCCATCACACGGGTAAGAAAACTGGTGCAGAAGTTTTTGCAACTCGAGTCCGAGTTCACAGAAAGTAGCGGGTGGAACTGTCAAGCGCCCCCCGCAGAGCCGCAGCCGTCCGCCCAGCGCCCGGGCTGGTGGCGCTCACGGCAGTGGGCGCCGCTGGGCCTGGAGCCCCTACGTTAGGCAGCGCCGCGCAGCTCCTCGGTGGTCCGCTGTCCTGACTCATCTATGCACGCCCTCATCCAGCATGCCCCTCACCTGGACTCCCCGGGGAAGGGCGAGCAGGGGCAGGTACCGGAGCCAGGAGCCGGAAGCTGACGACTTTGACCTCGGAAGTTCCCGCCCCGCTGGAGCGCAGTTCCGGTTAGGCGGTGGAGTTTGTTTACAGTGCTCCCAGGGCTCGCGGCTGCTTCCCCCAACTCGCCCTCCAAGATGGGGAAATCTTTTGCCAACTTCATGTGCAAGAAGGACTTTCATCCAGCCTCCAAATCTAATATCAAAAAAGTGAGTAAAGAGACCCGGAGGAGGGGGGAAATCTGGCCCACGACGACCGGCTTCCTGGAGGCTGCTGGAGGCGAGAGTGGTGGTGTCCCTGAGATCCCTAGGACCGTCCCCTCTTCTCCAGGCCTAAAGCCCTGATGTTCTCGCCCTCTTCTCCGCTAAGCGACTCGCTAACAAAAAGAGTCTTCAACGTTTTTTCTGCATCAGCGAGGAGACAGGCACCTCAGAGGAGCAACGTCGGCCAGAGTGTAAATCCCTCAGATGTGGAGACCGATGATACTAATGGTTCCTTAATACTTCCCTCAGCTGATTCTGTTTTGTCTTTTCGGATCCTAGAGACAGACTACGGCTTCTGAACTCTGCTCTTCTGTGCAAAGCAAACTCCCTATTTAAGACCTTAAAAGAGAAATGCACCCGATAATGTAGTTGCTATTTGATGATCTCGTTGAAGTTCAGCGTTTTAAATAATTGCTCGTTTATTAGGCGTAGCATCTTGCTGAATATCATAGCAGTGAAAAGCAGAATGGTGAGGTAGGAAGATTTAGGGCTTTGGGGTCAGACTTGGGTTGTAGTTATTCAGCACAGTCACTTTCCGCCTTAAGACCTTGCACAAAATATTTAATAACTATGATTCTTTGTCTTCTGATCTATAAACTAAGGACATTGACTTGTAAAATTGTGAGGATTAAGTGAAATGATATAGATAAAGCATTTGAAACAATGCAGGCTCCTGTCACTGTGGTGGCAGCCCGCCACATGGAGCTGGAGCTCAGTAAGATGTTAATTGCCCTTAGCATACAAACTTGTGGAAATGAATTAAACTTTTAAATGTTTTTAAAAGCATTTACAGTGATAATGAGATTTTGCTATACTTCCTCACTTCTAGACCAGTTTTCCTCAACTTTTTTTCATTATTGCCTTCTTAAGGAGCTTTTAGACTTTTTTTCGTAATCACCCCCCTATGAAATTTCAGTGCCACAGATATGTTTTTTTTATGAACAGTATGTACATAAACATAGGCTTTATATAAAATTTTACACAAGTTCATAAACTTAAGAGTGTTCCTGCTTCCCCCAGGAACCAATTATCTATCCCCTTATTAAGAATTTATGCCCTCTCAAACTCAGCGCTACTGACATTTTGAACTGACAATTCTTTGTTGTCGAAGACTGTTCTGTATGTCATAAGATGTTTAGCTACAGTCCTGGCCTCTTCCCTGTACGTGCCAGTAGCATCCTGCGTTTCAACAACAAAAAAACAGTCTCCAGGCATTATGAGAATCTTTGGTGTTAAGAAGCTCTGCTCTAACCAGAACATTTATTTAACAAAGAATTCATACTAGTAGTATAGAAATGGCATTCCTGGTTATGAAACAGGGGAGCTTGCTGATCTATTTGGAAATCAGGCTGCATCCTTATTCCAACCTGCTGCAAGCAGTAGAGCTAGTTGGCCACATCTGATATGTCTTGGAGAAAGTCTTTTGCTTTTCTGAAACAGGAGGGGATACTCAGGACATACTAGAAAGCATGCATCAGAATAATTTGTTCTTTAGTTTTTAGTTGGTTAAGTTCTGCCAACATTGACTAATCAGAATCACATTTATTTCTGCATCATTTTAATCATTATCGTATTTGTAGGATCAACGTTTCATATCTTGAAAGATCCTTAGTAATCATAGCTCTATTTCCTCACTTTATAAATGAGGAAACAAATTTGCCACGAGTTATGCAGCTAGTTAAAGGTAGAACCAGAACTAAGTTCAAATAAGAGGACATTTGATTAGCCCAGGACTTTTTCTACTATTCCAAACTATGTTTGCATGGTTAGAATCATGGGAGTAAGAGGTTTGCTTATATTTAGTTGGTCAAGTAACTTTTGCTACCAAGCACAGACATTTTCTTCCTCTGCATACTCAAAAGTTTATCTGTTACTGATTTTATAGGAGTGAAGAAATCAAATGGAATTCAGGCACTTGCTTTTATTTGTTCTGTTTTTTAACATTTAGAGACAAGTGTACCTGAAAAGCATAATTTTTTACTGGAACTTTTGACATTTAGCCTTAGAAAATTAAGTGAAACATCTTTCTTACAAGTAAAAGTAAATGTGCAGAGAGTAACTTGAAAATCCACTATGAGAAGTTCAGTAAATTCAGTTGCAGGCTTAGAACCTACATTCTTCTTGTCTGTGTAAAGTGTCATGCGCAATGTACCAGATGTTGTTGGCCTCTTTGATCTGTTTCACACCTTTCCCAGGATAGAGGAGAAGAATGAATTGTTTTTGGTTGATTATTTTTGTTTAATAACTTTTCCTTAATAGGTAATTAACACTTTATTGGGGGAAAAGATAACTTCTAGCCTCCTTTGTTGTTTTTTGAGACAGTTTCTCTCTTTTGCCCAGACTAGAGTGTCATGGTATCAGCCTAGTTCACACCAGCTTCAGAATCCTGAGTTCAAGCAGTCCATCTGCCTCACCCTCCTGAGTAACTGGGACACAAGCAACAAAAAAACAGTCTCCAGGCATTATGAGACTGGAGGCACTGCAGTGCCTTGTTAATTTTTCTATTTGTAGTAGAGATGAGTCTCTTGCTCAGGCTTGTCTTGAATTCCTAACCTCAAAGATTCCTTCCTTCTCAGCCTCCCAGAGTACTAGGATTACTGGTGTGTGCCACTGTGCCTGGCCTTAGCCTGCTTTATTAACTAAGGATAACGAAACTTTTAAAATACTTAGAAAAAATTGGCTTGGTTCCTGTAGCTCAGTGGCTAGGGCGCCAGCCACATGTACCAGGGCTGGTGGGTTCAAACTCGGACAGGGCCTGCTAAAACAACAATGACAACAATAACAAAAAAATAGCTGGGCATGTGGTGGACGCCTGTAGTCCCAGCTACTGGGAGGCTGAGGCAAGAGAATCGCTTACCTAAGAGTTTGAGGTTGCTGTGAGCTGTGACAGCACAGCACTCTACCAAGGGCAACATAATAAGACTCTGTCTCAAAAAATAATAATAATAATGGGGGGGGACTTTTGGAGGTGTTAAGTTTGTGGTATAGAATATGGGGATGGTTTCACAGGTATATAATTATCTCCAAACTATTAAGTTGTATACATTAAATATGTAAGGTTTTTTGTATGTCAGTCATACCCCAGTAAAGTTTTTTTTTTTTTTTTTTTTAAGAAGAGGAAAGAAATGGAAGAAACAAAGGAGTTTCATCTAAGTATAGTAGTGCTCCACCATGAAAATTCTAATTGTAAAGTTAGGTACTTTGAGTTTACTACAGTCCAGTAAGTTTTAAGGTCTCATTTGTTCATGAAGATTATGAGTGAATGCTATGTATCTGCTGGTCACTCTGTTATAGATGAAGAAAACAGTTAAATTACATTGTGGTACAACCTCCTTCCTTATCTCTCCTTGTAGACTAGCCAACAGTTCACAAACCTGCTAGTCACAGTAGCAGCACTGTACACTACTCCTTTGTGAAACTCTCTTCTGTCTTATGATTTTCTAGCTCTCCTATTAGACTAGGCCTTTTCCATCAGCTTCAGTGGACCCTTATTCTTAGCCTGCTCCTAAAACATAGGCATTCCCCAGAGTTTCATCCTTGATCTACTTCTTCCTTACTCTGTATGCATTTGCTTTAAAAGACTATTCCTTCATGGACAACATATATCTATACAATGGAATATACAGGATGGAATTAGTCTAATTTCATTCCATTTTCATCTTGATGTCCTACCAGCCATCTCAGATTCAACATATGTGAACTAAACTTTTCTTTCATTTCAAGTCTGTTCTTCTTTTTCTACTTTCTGTATCATAGGTACTAACACAATTCTCTATCCTGTCACCCAAGCCAGAAACTCAGGACTTGTCCCTTCCTCATCGCCCCTTTATCTAGTCAGCTAATTAATTGTATTTGTCTTAGCCTTCCAAATAATCTCTTACCTTAATCCATCTCTCTTCTTCATCACTATTGTCTGTGTCTTACTTTAGACCCTGATCATCCTTCACCTAAATTCTTGCATTTTTTTTTCATGTTCAATTAAGGTTAATTTTCTGGTTAGTATATTTTGAGAGTTGCTTAATAAAACAGCAATGAGAAAAATCGAGACCGAACCAGAGAGGTGAATGAAGCATAAAGTGCTGAACTTGAAATGAAGTTTGCTTGGTAGCAGAACCTTTTTTAGTGGAGACAGTTTCACTTTGAATTCTTCTTGGTAGAGTGTCCTGCTCAAGCGATTCTCTTGCCTCAGCCTTCGGAATAGCTAGGACTGCAGGTGCTGGCCACAACACCTGGCTGTTTTTAGAGACAAGGTCTAACTCTAGCTGTGGCTGCTCTTGAACCCGTGAGCTCAGACAATCCACCTGTCTCTGATGAGCCACCGTGCCTAGTCCTCTGAGAGCAAGACTTCTGTTTATTTTTTTTTTTACATATACATGTGTTTATTAGGTTTCCACTTTTTGCTTTTACAAAATTAAAAAGGCTTAAAATTTAGTAACAATAAAATGTTTAAGATAAGAATTAGAAACAAAAACTTCATAAAGAATGAACGAACAAATTACATTGAGAAAAGAAATCAGACAATTGCTGCATCGAAATATTAAGCAATAATAATACATAATTTGATTTTATCAAATGCTTTTTCTGCATCTATTGAGAAGATCATATAGTCTTTGGTTTTGCTTCTGTTGATACAGTGAATAACATTCATGGACTTATATATATTAAACCAGCCTTGCATCCCTGGGATGAAACCTACTTGATCTTGATGTATGACTTTTCTAATG